TCAAGATCCATCCTGAAGTACAATGCTGTGAGCCGTAAGGTACTAACTATACAAACTCAAGGAAGACCTGTTAATATAACCGTCATTCAAATATATGCACCAAAGATGAAGACATTGAGAATTCCTGCCAACTTCTGCATTCTTAAATAAACATGCAACCAAGATTCACTAGTAATAATTGATGACTGGCACACAAAAGTTGAGAATGAACGAACGACTGGTATTTAGAAATCACTTAGTGACAGAAATGAGGCTTTTGGACAATCAGTGACTTACACGTTGCAAATACGTCTCTTTTTTTTTTGGCCATGTTTTTGTAGTTTATTATTTTTTAATAATAAAATCTTTGTAGTTATAACAACAAAAACATATTTTGGGGAATCCCAGTTTACATGTATCAATATACCTCCAAGGCTAAAACCTTTGTGCTAATTACTTTTTTTAAATTAAGATAAAACTTTTATTTTACACTGATTTACTCATAGAGTTCATATATATCATTTTTCACACTGGATCGTTCCCATTTCCTTAACCCACCTCTCCCTCCATCCATCAGCTTGTGCAACCCTGTGGTTAACCACGCAGCACATCTTCACCCCTCTGCTCCCACCCTCCACAAATACCTTTTCTTTCTTCACAAAGACCTTTTTAAAAAAACATACAGAAAATGACTATACACAAGGACCTCACCTGATGAATTACACAGGAATCAGATTGATTACATCTGTGGAAAGAATAGAGAAGTTCGATGCTGACTGGAAGAGACTGTCAGTTACTTATGTGCAAGTTCAAACGGAAGCTGAAGACAATTAAAACAAGACCATAAGAACCAAAATATGACCCTGAATCTGTCCCGCTTGAATTTTTAAAGTATCTCAAGAACAGGTTTGAGGCAGTGATGAAAATGATCAGATGAACTGTGGGATACCATTGAGGTTGTCATCCACGAAGAAAGCAGATCACTGCAAAGAGGAGAAAGCAGAGAGCCAACAGAGATGTCAGCCGAGACCCTTGGAAATTGCACTAGAACAGCAAGAAACCAAAACCGAAGAAGGAAATGGTGACGTAGAGAGGACTGTAGAGATTACCAAACCCAACCCCGCCCCCACTGTCTCGGTTATTCCTTCTCAAGGTGATGCTTCCTGAGCGTCCCTAGACGGTGAGTCCCCATGGGAGGAGAACATCTCTTCTTTCTCCCAAGGAGCACCTGGCAGGTGTAGATGGCCGACCTTCTGCTTAGCGGTCCAGCACTCCACTCCCTGTGCCACCGAGGCTCCTTATCTTTGTTGTTGTTTGATGTCCGTCGAGTATGACTCAGTGACCCTGTGAACAACGGACCTGAATGCTGTCCTTTCCTGTGCCATCCTCATCATGTCTGATACGCTTGAGCCCATGGTCACAGTCACTTTGTCAGTCCATTTTGTTGGGGGATTTCCTCGCTTTGGTAGACCCTCCTGTGGGGTAATTCTACTCTGTCCAGTGCGGTCAGTGTGAGTCCGACCTGACTGAGAGGGAAGGAGTAAGAGTTCTTTTGACACCTACCCTCTTCCATTAAGTCAGTTCTAACTCACGGTGATCTTGAAGGGCTTTCCGAGGCTGGGATCTTTCTAGAAGTCGACTACCTCATCTCCCTCGTGGAGCTGATTCAAGTCACACACTTTTTGGTCAGCAGCCGAGCTCTCTAAGCACTTCATCATCGGGGCACTTATATTCTAGATGCACGTCCTCTGTCAGGTACGTGATGACAAGCCTCCTGTGGGTTGTCTTCTGTTAGTTTGTTTCTTGTTGGCATCTGTTGGAGCACAGAAGGTTTTCATTTTGGAGAAGTCGGGTATAACTGCTGTGGGTGAAAGTGGGCCCAGGGACTAGGGTGGAAGCAGGAGCCCGGTTCCCGTAAGGCTGGCCCAGTGTTGCAGACGGAGATGGGAGAGCCTCAGCTTGGGTGTGATGATGGAGGTGGTGAGGGGGCTCCATGGCAGTGAACCTGGAGGCAGAGTTGATGGAAGGAGGGGAAGGGCAGGAACTCAGTGCTGCTGGGCTCCGACACCACCTGTGCCTCCCGCTGTGATTGCTGACCCTGACACCCTGGGCGTGTTCATCCGACGGGGGACTGCATGCTCCCTCCTCACGTGTGCGATCTAGTTCTGTGCTGCTGTTACGGTTATGAGGGAGCTCTCATGGCGACTCTGGAGGGAATTGTGCTGCTAATGCAAGGTGGTGTCTGGTGGTTTGAATTCACCAGTGGTGGCAGGGGAGAAAGCTGGGCCATCTGCGCCTCCACAGGCCCGCGGAGAGGGGGGGGTCTGCTGGGGGTCAGCTCTCACTCTGTGGCTATGACAGAGAGAAAGCATGCATGAGGCCAGCCAGGGAGATGGTCCCAGGGACTCGGGCTTCCCTGGACAGCCATTGGGCCAGCCAGGTGTCCCTGCGCGTGCAAACACTGAAAGACTCAATTACTAGTTGGAAGGTTGGCGATTCAAACCCACAAATAGGCCTGACAGTCTACTTCTGAAAAGTCCAGCCTTGAAAACCCTGCGGAGCAGTCCTGCCCTCACACTGGGGGTGACTCTGTAGTCACTACAACAAAACCATCCCAGGTAAACCTCACCTGAGGACAGCTGCATGTCTGCTCTGCCAGCACAGCATTGGAGGGACTCCCCAGACCCCTCCTAACCTGGCGTCGGTCTGCAGGCCCCTCCTAAGCTGGTATCCGTCTGCAGGCCCCTCCTCAACCTGGAGTCGGTCTGCAGGCCTCTCCTAACTTGGTGTCGGTCTGCAGGCCCCTTCTGGGTAGAGTTCAGGTATTGACTGAGATACTTTCAAATCATCTGAGAGAGTTGCCGTGTGGCGAGGAGATTGAAAGGCAGAAATAACTAATGCTAGCTGGCTTTCGTGAGGAGCTCAGTACTTCTGCTTGCTTCCTAGCACTGTCATCAGCCGACACAGATCAGAGCAAGCCTCCAGGGAGGTGGGAGGCTGGGTGGTGGCCAGGGGATGAGAGATTGCAACCGGCCGACCTGGATGGAGGTCAAGGGACGAGCTGGAGATCCTGAGGCTGCGCAGGGAGCGAGGTCAGATTTCCCAGTGATGATTGGCTTAAGCCTGAGGAAGAAGAGGTGCTGAAAGGCTTGAGAAGGAGCAGGCTGGCAGGAGAGGAAAATCCCTGTGGGTTTGCAGAATGGAGACAGTCACAGACACTGGAGACATTGTAGCCTCCTGTTCATTCAGCGCTTCTATCTCTTGAAGTTTATTCCAAGAAAATACTGGGAGGTTTGTCTGTGCTGTTTATTATGCTGATGAAATGAAAACATTTTGGTTGAGAACATTTTGAATTATCTGTGTTTTGTGTCCCTTGCAGATTTCCCGTGCACTCATTAAAAACCCCAAAACCAGCAACCTCAGGGAGCACAGATGACCACCCAAAGGCATGCAGTTCAAGTCCACCAGTTGATCTGAGGGAGGAAGATGGCCATTCTCTTCTCCTTAAAGGCAGTGATTTACTACCTCTGAAACCCTCTGGAGGTCAGCTATGAGTCAGCTCCCAATCAGCTATACATAGCAATAACATTAAAAAAATTCAAGAAGCTGCACTGCAATCCCAGAGGTACGCAGTTCAGATCCACCAGATGCTCTGCTGATCTCATCCAGTACCACCAGTCAGATCCGATTTAATAGTACATACACACACACAAAAAATAATTTAAAAAAAATGTAAAAAAAGAAATCACATTATAAGGGAATATTACCCACAAAATGTAAAATGTACATGATTTATTGAATGAGAAACTGTATGTCTTTGGTATTTTGTGTGTGTGTGTGTGTACACCTCAACATAAAACAAATATCCTCACAGTTGGACCAGTGAGCAACATCAGATGAAGGAAATAAAGATAGAAATGGTTAAGGATTTCATTTTACTTGAATACACAATATTTGTGGCTGTGTGGTCTTGGGCAAGTGTTTTGATCACTCTCACCTCAATATCGTCATCTGGAAGTGGGGGATAATGCCACCTGTCTTAAAGGGTGGGATAAGGATTAAATGGAGCCCCAGTGGGACAATAGTTGCGTGCCTGACTGCTTATCAAAAGGTTGAGTGTTGGATGCCACCACCCACTTTGTGGGAGGAAGACCTGGCATTCAGCTCCCATTAAAGATTACAGCCTCAGAGCCACTGTGGGGCGGGTCTGCTCTGTGGTGTGGGGTCACCATGAGCTAACATCAGTTTGGCAACACACAACAATGTAGATTGAATGAGTGAGCACTTTTACATGAGAATGTTCTGTGTGACAGTTGGGTGACTTTATTGGGGCAGGCTCTGAATTCAGAATGCAGAGATCAGTCTCCACGTGGCACAGATGCCAGGCACGGAGTGCCCGAGGCTGCACACATCCCCTCCCTGCCTCGTGGTACATGCACAGACTCCACAGCTGAGATGGGTTCACGGTTCCCCTGGACAGGATGTCTTCTGTTCCTTCCCTACCCTGTCCACCCTGCGAGGCAACCAGGTCCACGATGTTTGCCTACGGTGTGATGCGTACGCTGTGATGACTCTAGTCCTCCGCGATGGTTCCCTCTGCTCCCCTAAGCCCTCAGATCCACTCTTCGTTCCTTGTGGCTTTCAGCTCTCTGTTGCTGCATTTGCTTCTCTGGCTGGGACATAGGCTCCTTGACATTAGGAGCTGTTACACATATTCTGTCCACCCCTCTTTAGGATTCACCACACGTGAATTAGAAATCAGAAGGGCCGATCCCTAATAAGGTGCATTTTGAATGAAGACATTCAAAAGCCAGCTTAATGATACCATGGCAGTTGTGTTTGCTGTTGAATTAAGCCCCTGCTGTAGTTTTCACCCACCTTGCAGTTCTCAGTTCCCACAACTAAAGATTTCTTCTTTCTGGCATGATGAGACATGGGGAGAATAATAATAATGCTTGTTCTTTAGCCCCCAGGCCTCCCTCCATGCCAGAGTCCCCCTTCCTGCCTGAAGATCAACAGTGGACACCTTGGCCATGGCGTCACTCTCAGAGCCAGTGACCTTCAGAGAGTTCTGCCCTCTGTACTACCTTCTCAACGCCATTCCGACGAAAATCCAGAAGGGTTTCCGCTCCATTGTGGTCTACCTTACGGCCCTGGACACCAATGGGGACTACATCGCCGTGGGCAGCAGCATCGGCATGCTCTACCTGTACTGCCGCCATGCCAACCAGATGAGGAAGTACAACTTCGAGGTGGGTCGGGCCTCCTCCTTCTCGCGTGTGAGCCCGGGGCTGTGTCTTGTTCACCTGCACGTGCTCAGATGGGATGGTGCTCGTAGCCTCTTGCATAAGTTTGAATACACCTTAAATCAAGCTGTTTTAAACTTTTTTCCTCTGCCAAAATCTGCTGTCTCTTTCAAAGAGAACCCTTCAGTGTTTACTGTTGTAGAACAACCTAAGGAGTGATTGTTACACTAAAAAGACTTCGAAGGAGCAGGAGCGTGGTTAAACAGTTGGCTGCTAACTAAAAGGTAGGCTGTTCAGGCTCACCCAGGGGCTCTGCAAGAGAAAGAACTGGCTCCACCTCCATGAAGACAGCCAAGAGAGCAGACAACCCTTGAGAGTAGTTCTGTCCTGGGCCCTGGGCCACTGTGGGAGGGAGCAGACCCCCATGCACACAGCAGCAACAGGAGCACGTGGGGAGTAGATTCTTTCTCACGTGTTTCTTTTGCAGAGGGCCTGACTGACCTACCTCTGGTTACTCTGTTTTTTACATTGTTATGTAAAAAGAGTGACATTGATGTTGACTACATGTCAGAACAAGGGCATTGTCCGTGAAATCACCCTGACATAGCACTGACGATGGGATCAGGGCCAAATATCGTACATTGTTGGTTGATTGCAGCGAGCCTGCATGTTGTACATTTTTGGGAGGCTGATATCTGTGTGAGGTGTGGCTGACACGAGATATCGAGGAGCCACGCTTGAATTCATCTGCTCAATCAGTGCTTGGAGTTTATTGAGTACACAACTATTGCGGGGCCCCCAAAGGTGAGGTAGGCGCTCCTGCTTCAAGGAGTTCGAAGCTCATGCGGCTCATCCGTGGGGTTAATGAGCTTTTCCAGCAAAGTCAGGGCATTGTGTTCAAGGAGATGCTTATAAATAAACCCAAACCAGACCTGCTGCTCTTTAGTCAGTGCTGATTCACAGGCCCGGGCAGTTCAGAGTGGAGCTGCCCTGGAGGATTTCCAGGGCAGCAAGGCTTCACACCAGCAAACGGACACTTTTTTTATCCCTCAAAGTGCCTGGTAGGTTCTTGCCACCAGCTCTGAGGTTGGGGCCAAGCATTTTAATCATTGCACCACCAGTGCACCTAATATTTCATCAGTGTTCAACTTGCAGGGAACTCTGGTGACTTAGTGCTTAAGAGTTGTGCTGCCACCCCAGAGGCATTTGAACCCAAAGATTCCAGTCCACCAGCTGCTCCTTGGATGGGCATTCTCCTCCTGTGCTGTTTACTGCCTCTGAAAACGAGTGCGTGCCAACTTGACAGTACATAACAATAACAACAACTTATTAAAGTTTCAATAAAAAGAGTTTCTTAAGCCTCTGTGCTCAGTTGTTTAAAAAATTTTAATGATTAACATGTACATAGTATGTACCGGGTGTTATTCTAAACCTTTGTTGTTGTTGTTTGCTGTCAAGTTAGAACCGCTCATAGACCGCTGGCCCTCCAGCCGGTTTTCAGAGTCTGTAAATCACACGGGAGGAGGTCATCCGTTTTTCTCTCTCTGAGCAGATGGTGGATTCAAACCCTTCGGGTTGTCAGTGTAACTCCTTACCACTGGCTTACCAGCTCTCACTACACTAAAGCATGACACGCATTCATTCTTTTAGTCATCACAGAGACGTCATGAGGTTAAGTGCTGTTACCCCGGTTTAGCAGGGAGACAGCTGAGGCGCAGGTCGGACAGATAGTAAATGGCAGTGCTGTTGTTTGCATTTGAGAGGGACTCTTGTTATACAGTGTGCTGTTGACCCAGTGACCCCATAAGACAGAATAGAATTGTCCCACAGGGGTTCCCAACCCATAAATCTTTATGGGAAGGTAAATAAAAACAAATTATCTGATAAAACTGTTTGGCATGGGTGAAATACCTTGATTTTCATGTTACTACTTATTTATTTGCATGAAAGTGATAAAGAAAATGTGTTTCCATTTTATAATGCATGTTGTTGTTATGTGCCGTCGAGTTGTTTTCGACTCATAGCGACCCTATGCACAACAGCCCTAAACCCTGCTCTATCCTGCGCCAACTGCACTGCGTCCGACACACCCATCCCGATTACCCCAGTCACCGAATCAATCCATCTCA